CACTACTAAATTAGGGAAGGCTAGCACGATAGCCCTCGTGTAGCTTTGCGCGAAATTCAAAACAAACAAACAAAACCATGGGCTGATCTTGATGTTATAATGTGACTACAACAGAAGTACAAACTACCTTTTTTTGTTGTTTCCTGCTGTTAAACAACAAAACAACACAATGAGCTATTACGGATATCGAAACCCGAATTTTCGCGGAATGAGCCCTTACACCGCTAGGCTAATTTAGTCAGGCAACCCCCTGGAGTTCAGCTGCAGAAGGACAAGGAGTGAGCGCCCCATTTCTGGAGTCCCTCGTCGCCGAAACGCGTTATTGTAAACAAATATTATAGTTTTAAACTATTCAATATGATCACAAATACAGTTGGATATTAATTTTTAGGATGTTGCATCGATTTTCCAACTTATAATATTCTAATGAAATATGTGTTAAATATTCGCAGAATCTCCTTAATTAAATCATCGACTCGTTATTTTTCTACACACTACACTCTTACATATGTCATCATTTGCTGGATCGGATATTTTTAGGTCCGATTTTGTTGGACTTGGAAGGGTCAGGTACACCTTCGATCTCTTCCCCCCCCCCTACCCTAACAGTAGATTTTTATTGTTGAAAACTTCTGCTTCTTGGTATTGTAGTTTGGTAGAGTTTACAGTGCAAGATGTTTTGGATTTAAAGTATGAGACAACTTACAACTTTTGGAGTTAAAATTTTAACACATTCACGGATTTGTATATATTTGGATGGATTAAGAACTGGGAGAAAACGCTACATTGTCTGAAAATGGTTAAAATGTTTCCACGCTCTGAGCATTATGAAAATCATATCGGATTGTAGCTACAAGTTGTGATATAATTTTTTACAGCCTTAAGTTTTTATCGTTGCTCTCGAAGGCTCTAACAAACTACTCTGAGGTAAATATTCGAGCACTGAATGAATCAATTAGTTAATTACCCAATTAATGAATCTGTGTTATGTTAAATTTTTTTTGTGAGATAGGCCTATCAACGAATGTAACTTGTAGAATTTCTACGCTACGATTAAAGAAATAAATCGCTTTCGCTATCGTTTAGTAGACAGCACTTTGCATTAGTTTTACTAAGTAATTAAAAAGAGAACTTAACAGTTAAAACATTTGTTTACTACGATATCAGTAAATGTGGTTGTATAAAGTGCTTGAGAAAGTTATTACATAATGAATGATTAGACTTATTTATCAGTAGGATGTTCAAAGATGTTCTACAAAAATCTCGTATAGAAATGTAATTTACATCTGAGAGGTCTTGCGTTATTGGAGGAGAGTGTAAGAATAAACGGGCCGTAAAGTCCTGCAAATTTGGAGTGAAGTGGTCCATTTGTCTATACAGTGTATCCTTTATGTATGTGCAGACGATGAATTATATCTCAAAGAACTATGAAAACTGTCAGAAATCTTTGTTTGTGTGTGATGTAGCACACTGAAAAGTATTGTAAACATTGGCGCGATTTCACTGCCACCTATTGATACTTTTTTACAATAACCAGCAGTCTTTCTTTTTTATGTTAAATCAAACAAAATTTAACTTATTATAGAAATCGTCTAACAATTTTTATAAACTGTTGTAGCCTTTACACCTTATCCAATTATAAATATTCAAAATAATATTCAGAAAAATATAAAGTATTTATTTAATGAAAGAGTATGAAATTCATCAGCCATTTTCCCGAAAGGGGGCTGAAGGCCTATTGGAGTGTGTTGTCTGTCAGTCAGTCAGTCACTAGACACTAAAATTACTTCACATAAGAGACGCTTGACGTTGTAATTTGTACTGTCGTGACGTCATTAAAACGTACGCCTGCCGTGAATCGCGAGAATCATGACACGTGATCTTCAAAAGCAAGAAATAAAAATATTTGTTACTCTTATTTTTGGTTTTATTTTCTCTCGAAACATAAGACTTTCGGGAACCATGCGGAAGAAGGGTTGAAAACGCTGAAACAGAAAACATTGCGCTAAGTTTACGTGTTTGATGTCGCTTCCGTCACGTGATCCAATATTACAACGACCCCTCTTGCGCAATACAGTTTGATAACGAAGAATTTGGCGATTTATTTATTTTTCAAGTCTTTCTTCTTGTTCCGCAATAAACATAAAACTTACGCAATTTTTAACTTTTGTTTTCCAAATTACCCTTGTTGCCCTTTTACAGTTTCGTAAAAGGTTAGTTTTCTAAGTTTTTTTTTCGTTGTTCTTGTTACAGTTGAATAAGTGCAAAAAAAAAGTTTGGTAATCAGTTTCGGTACGATAATGGACTAGTCCCCAGCCCCGGATTTTAGTGATGTAAGTCCGTAAACTTCCCGCTGTCCCACCACGATCCCCGCGGAGGACGCGTCATTTAGTGTAATGTGGCTTTGCTGTAAAACAAACTAATAACGGAAAAAATAGTTTGGCGATTTTCATTTTCTTTTAAGCCTATGTTTTCGTCGTTTTTTTGTAATTTGATAATGAACAACAACAAGAAAAAAAAATTGAGGATTTTTTTTTTTCGAAATCTAGAAATACGTAATACTTTTCATCCATTATGTAAGTACAACGGACTTTTAAGTCTTTTCAACGTTCGGTTCTCATTACTTTCGCTGACTATTCATTGGAGATCTCAGATAATATGTTTGCGAAAAGTTAAGCTTAAAGCTACTTGTATAAAATCAAATAATCGTTTAAATATTATATACTTTGGAGCCAAACTGCACGCAGTCCTCGAGACTAGAGATTAAAGTCCGTGTCATTTAAACTTCGTATAAATATATTTATCTGATTAAAACATACAAAATAGTTTATCAGGAATTCAACGGTCAAGTGATATTAGTACGCAGGGTTCCGGATAACGTATGAGCCACAATAAAAAATAATAAAAAAACTTAAATAAAAATATTGCAATTAATCCCACTCTTCATTGCTAGGGTTCACTATGTAGTTTATATAGAAGATGAGTGATTTAATGAATTACTTAATATATACATTATGTAGGCTTCATCGGTAGGTGAAAACAGGTTGGGAATTTGAGAATTAGCAGGGAGATAAACCAAGTACCGTGACTCTTCTAACAATGCGAATACTCTACAGTTTATTGTTATTCTCATTTCTTTAATAGTAACGTGACTTCTAACAATGTGAATACTCTACAAGTTTATTGTTATTCTCATTTCTTTAATAGTAACGTGACTTCTAACAATGTGAATACTCTACGAGTTTATTGTTATTCTCATTTCTTTAATGGTAACGTGACTCTTCTAACAATGCAAGTATTCCAGTATTTTATTCGCTTTATTTCTTGATAATAATATATCTCTTCTAACAATGTATATATATATAATAACTCTAATAGTCCATTTTTTTCACACTTCTTTATTAACCGCTCCAACACTGCCAAAACTCTACTAGTTTACCGTTTTATCTATTATTTAATAGTAACGTAGCTTTTCTAACAAAGCGTAATAAGTCTCGTAGTTCATTGTTTTTCCCAATCGTTTATTCCAATATACATAGATCGGTAATTTTCATTGTCTGTTACATTGTTTCAAATGACTTAGAACGAATAAATAAACACAACATTTTCGTAGTTATCTTAGTATCCAAATAGTTCGTCTAAATGTAATATTTAAATTTTACAAAAAAAGTTTTAAGTCAGTAAATAAAAAAAAGTTTTCTCTACCTAAATTAATGCTAGTGGTAAAAACGAGTCTTTTAAACGCTGATGTTTGGTTGATTTTTGTACATCTTCTGATATAAATCTTCCTGATACAAAACGTTACTGTATATTATTACGCCGAGTCCAAATAAATCAATTTTAAATATTTAGATATTCCCCCTTCTTGTAACTAAAATCTGTGTGTTATGAATTCGACTAAGCATGTTGAGTTCGAGAGTTTACTGTAAGCCTAATATCAAGTAAAACATGAAGTTACAAACGCAAATAAATAACTAAACATAAGCACGAGTGTGTACTACAGTATCATTTTACATAATTCACAGTCGTGAGCAGTGATTTGACAGTTTATAAAACAGTATATACGCGTTTGGTGAAATCACTTGGCTAGAAGGCACCTTGGAAACCCTGAAAAACAAAGAAATGATGTCATGAACATTAAATATAATATTTCACAAAAAACAACACAGTACTAGATGTAGCAAATCGGGAAACTTTCAAAACAAGCTAGAAATGTATCTCTATGTAAAGTTTTGAGTAAGCTAATCTCGCATGAATTCAACTTTATATGGAGGGTGGGGGAATTTGCCTCCTCTGTGTTTCGTACCGCTCGCTAACCTTTGACCTATGCAGATTTAAAACGTGTATATTACCTTCTCAGTTTGTGCCTGCAAATCCCAGAATCCACCAGCGTAGAACACTCTTCTTTTTTAGCAAGTTTATTTGTGCCCTCTGGACCCCTGCTCAAAGTTACCCCCACACTACCAAAACCTGAAATGACACTCCCCACCCACTTTGTTTATAGTAACTGTGTTCAACTTATAATACCAAAATTAATTTACTTTTGATATCCATTGACCTAGAAAACAAAAACAAATCAGGAAAACGAAATATGTTAAATTTTCAGTTCTAAATAACTATTGAACATAAAGAGTGTTCAAAGCCTCAGAAACATAGTAAGTTGTGTAATTATAGCTTGTTAGAAACACATACAATACCTGTGATCTAACTTACAGAAAACTAATGAGTCTTTTTTAGCAGATATAGGTCACGGAAACTGACCAGAACCAATATAATATGTGTTTAATTTGGATATTCCTGTAAAACTATTCGAGAATCATCTGCACTAGAACTTATAAGACTAGAGGGAGGAGCAAATAGTCAGCAGCACCCACCGCCAAATCTTGGGCTGTTGTAGCCGAATAGTGGGGTTTGACCTTATCTCTTATAATACACCCACGATAGCCTAAAGTGCCGAGCGCGTAGTTTTTCCCCTGGTAACAGGACGCTAAACTTTAGACCTTCGGATCCACAGCCCGACACGTTAACCACTAGGTTTTGCCCTGCTCCAGCTTATGTATAGAATTTATTGTTACATAAATATCGTTTTGTACTTAATCAAAATTGTTTAAATGAGAGTCAGATAACTTAAATAAAAAAACAAAACAAAAGGATAGATAGGTGGATGAATAGACAATCAGATAGGTAGACAAACAGATCGGTAAGTGAAGATCAAAGTAATATAGATTTATCAGTTAGCATTTCAGTCTACTTTACCCTGGTACTACTCTTTATAAAGATATATATATATAAGACGGACAAGAAAAAAAAAGACATATAGGTAGATAAAAGGACGAAAAGAAAGACAAATAGATAGATGGACAGGAAGAAAGACAGGCAGCTAGCTAGACGGACAAGAAAAACCAGACAGACAAGAAGATAGATAGACGGACAGGAAGAATGACAGATAGATAGATAGATAGACGGACAAGAAAAACCAGACAGACAAGAAGATAGATAGACGGACAGGAAGAATGACAGATAGATAGATAGATAGA